TGTGTGTGTGTGTGTGTGTGTGTGTGTGTGTGTGTGTGTGTGTGTGTGTGTGTGTGTGTGTGTGTGTGTATGTGTGTGTGTGTGTGCTATGCCGTCGAGTAAAGAGAACGCCAAGCATCTACACCACGAGGACGACTCGGTCAGAGCTGCGTTCCCGCTAATGCCACCAGCGGTTTCCATCCACGGAGCAAGGGAGCGGACGGAGATCATAGCTGCCACTCGAGAAGATTTTGAGATGGATCCGACGTCGTGCCATGGACTGATCGCCCTATTCATTATTGGTGTGAAGAGGATTGGGAGTCCGCAATGTCCTTGTGTTCATGRGCGAACGAGTATCGCTTTGCCAGCATGTTGGAGTGGGGAAACATAATACRATTGCTGCCTTCGGATTTGTTGCCGCAAAAGACATTCGCCTTTGCGGCCTCCGATGCCAACTTCCACTTTCTAGAGTTCAAGTGCATCACAACCTCRCCCAGGACCTGGTCCCCGATTAWGCAATTCGAGTTGCTGACATGCGCAAGGKTYTGCAACTTCTTGAGTGACTGCCCTTTGCCTCGTTGTCAGAATTCGTCCAGTGTGATTTCCTACGGTTGTGTCCATGTGAAATTAGGACACCTGCCTGTCAGCAGGATAGTATGTGTGGCCTGCACGAGCAATGCAAGAACTTTGACAGACGCCGTCGTTTTTGCGACCCACAATAGTTTACATCTTACTAAAGGTTGCCTATCGCTTCTCAAGTGCTTAGGTAGGGAGGGCAAGTCCGATTTCATGCAKCAYGTGAGAGTATCAGAAGGCGACCAAAAGTTGGAGGTTGAGACTTACATTGCGTGCATCAGAGATGCAATGGGGAAGTACTTGGCTAGAAACGGGACGTTTGTTCSCATGAAATACATCTCTCCATTCTCGGAAAAGGAAAAATACAAAGACCCCCTCCGCCTTACTTACGKTTCGTCGCTGTCTGCTTTGTACGGGTTCAATAAAAGACAACGTTTGCTTTCAACTTAAATGTAGGTGAACGGGTCATGGTGCAGTTTGGGGAGTGGAACTGCTCGTGCTTACGGGTGTATGTAAGGGATATKGCATTCGGTTGATGTGCTACTATAACGTAAGTTATGTCGATTGATGGACACATTAGTATGTTCGCGGGTTAGTTCAGGTACAGCAACATATATGTTTCTCGCGATAGAAAGATATGTGTTTTCTGTAGTCGATACGCCGATATTCGATACCCCGGTAYGTATGTTACTCCTCGGAACAAAGTTGTCTGTTACCTGTGGTATTCGGCCACAGGGGAAGGCAGGGTGCACAAGAATTGATGTATGTAGTGTTCATTCATGTGTRTAGGGTACATCTTACTGACGATGAACATCTCACATACGATGAATCGTGCGATGTGGCTCCAGCATCGACCACAACCGTTTCACCCCTATGTACTGTCAATACGGCGTTCTGGCGGAAACACGGAAATCCTATCTGCAACCAGGGAGGACTTCGAATCAGATCCATGGATAATTGGTGCCCCTTTCATTGATGACCATCTCGACAWGTGTAAMGATAGTTTTTGGGAGAGCGTAATGCGAGACTRTCCACGGGCTAATGACTATAAATTCGCTAGCATGATGGAGTGGGGAAATCTGATCCCAGTGCCCAACGACGTCCTCGTCCCAAAGTACCTCCGGCATWTRCGTGCCTCATTGCGGCTTTGTCATCGCGAGTACAAYTTGCTAGAATGTGAATACACCTCRACTTCGCCACRTGTTTGRTCTCCTGCGATGAAGCAAGAAATGTTGGACTGCRCTCGCCTAAGTCCTRACCTTGAGCAGCACCCGCTCCGCGGCCAGGCCACATCTCCATGAGTTATGTCGTACTGTTGTATCAGATTACGTTTAGCCAAATTCATATTCGGTAGGGTGTTGTGGSTGGCTTGTTCGAACAAGAGTCGAACTTTAACCAACGCAGTTGTATATGTCTCACGCAATGAGTTGAGTTTCCAAAAGAAGTGCATATGCTTAGTGCAAGGCCGATGTCCGCACGGCAGAATGGATATAGTGTTAGTCGGTCAGTGTGGTGTCGGGGTACAGGGTGTACATTCTGCAGTGTGTACTGCGTAGGTGGGTCCGTGTGGTATGGCCCAGTACCTGTCTATTGTAGTCGCGCCTTTCGTGTCCTCTTATGTTTTTTTTTTTTTCTTCGTCCTCCGGGACAGTCGTGTTATGTACATGCCAAGGACAAAGGCAGGGTTACGATATAGTGGTAGGTCGAGAAGGCGGACTGGTGTGAAGGTGGGAGGATCGTTGCTAGTCAAATGAAACAGCAGT